CCAGACTTGTTGCTTATAGAAAATAATTATTTAACTCCTATCCATAATTTTAAACAGCTGAAATATATTGAGACACACAATGTGGTGTATGTGTGGCTTCAAAAGTTATTTACTTGCCAAGTGGTAAGGGATGTATTTCTGGACATCTTAACTACATACTAGAGATACACATTACGATTACTTTTTGCAGTAAGCTGGTAAAGAAAAGCAAAAAAACCCCCAAACCCAAAGAAATTGAAAAAATATCCATACACATGTTATTCTGGGATATTTGTTCAAAATAATGAGCCATTCCCACAGAGGAATTTACAGGTATGAAACAAGCCATACACTGTAATTTTCTATATGGCAAACCAATTACTGGTATTAATGTCTGTCTGGGCAAAAGTTGTTTAACTATTCTTAATAGTTAAGAACATAAAAGTAATGTTTATTATATTTGGAAAGGGGGGGGGAGTGTCCCCCAAAGGTATGCACCAGTTTACACTGAGATATTTTTAATTTCATTTTGTATTGTAAAAAGTGTCTCTGTTTTCAAAATTATTGTCAGTCTGGGATTCCTATGGCAATAAAAGCTACAGAAAACACTGCATCGATTTTAGGGCAAAGCATAAAAGCCCTCCTAATAATCCACCTTCAAATACATTTTAAGCACAGTTTATCTAGGAACTACATTTGCCTTTAAGGATACATAGGATACTTCAAGTAGCACATCCCCTTTGCCAGTATTGGAAGTCTAATAAGAAATGCTGAAGATCTTTTCATTCAAAGCTTCTTTGAAAGGAGCCTAGATGGCTTTCAGCTTCCCTTCTGCTTTGACAGAAAGAAGCCAGGCCTAAATTTTCAAGTGTGACTACTAATTTTTGGATACTCAGCTTCAGGTATTTTGAAAGATGTGATTTTTTGAGAAGCTTAGCACCTTGTGCATGAAAAAAAAATCTTTAAGACACTGACACTAGACAATTTTGGAGGCACACAAAATCATGGGCCCTTTCTGAAAACTTATCTCTGTTCCCCACCCTTTACCTATTCTACTTGTTTCCTGTTCCCTGTTATTCACCATCCCCTATCAGATGACTCTCCAAGTTCTCTCCCTGCCACCCAGAACAGAGATCCTCCACTGATAAGGACTTAATGTAAAGTAGCCCTCTCCCTGCTTCATTTCTTTCTTTCCCCAAAGTCATACCTAGTTTAGTGATGGTCAACGCGTGCCTTCAAACTAATCTTGGCAGAAACCCTCCATTTTACAGATCACAAAACTGAGGCAGACACTCCTGGCAAAAGAGAGCACATGCAGCTCAAACCCAGCAGCAGCTGGAGTTGCTCAAAACTTCGAAGTCATTATAATGCAGATCTACAGCACCGTCATGGCAGAGATGGATGTGGGATGCAGCAAGTTAAGACCTCCTGTCCATGGCTAGGACCCTAAATCCACCATAGAAACAAAAGAAAAACACTGCAGTTGAGCTCTCTTGTCCTCACATCGACAGACATGTAAAACACCCAAGAATAGGCAGACCAAGATTGTTTTATCCCTGCAGCAAGTCATGGTTCACCCCTGCAATTTTTAGCCTGAAGTATCACATTCTCCATAAGGTGTGTCGTCAGCTCTGTCCCCATCATTAAACATTCTGTGGCAAAAGCTCCAAGGTGCAGGTAAGATCAGTTTTACCTGTTACCTAGCCATAATTGCCTTTTATACCTTAGCATAAATAACAGGTTGTCTACTGGGTTCTAAAAATGCACCTTTTTCCTAGTGTACTGATACAACAAGCTCATATGGGTCCGACTACCATCAGTAGACAGACTAGACCCTGTTTCCAGACCCACCTAAACAGAATGCCTCAGTAGTCAATAATGTGGTGATTCATCCAATAAGCTAAACATTTTCATCCTACAAAATACCAAAGCCTAGACAAATTACCCAGAAAATGCTGCATACAGGCTTTTTTCTTGAAAACTGTCAAATATTGTGAGACGCCATAACCCCGGATTAACACATAAATAAATCCCAAATTGTTGTTCTCTTGTTTTTCAAACTGATAAGGAGAAAAATTTAAAAGGAATCCTAAATATTTCGGTGGTCCTGGAAGTAATGCAGTATTGCAACAGATGGTGAGCCAGCTGCCAAAAATTAATATGAAACATAGTATTTAATGCATAGTGGTTATTATTCCCTAAGAAGGTACAAGCACAACCTTTTCTTTTTGGCCGTGAAGACAAAGCCTACTGTCATAAAAATCAATCCCTTCCAAAACCAACAGCTTGGGTACAAGTAAGTGTAACTGCTGAAGAGAGGCAGCTGAGTCAACTACCTTCAATCACATCTTCAATTCTTTCCCCTTCAAGGAAACGTTTGGATAACCGTATTTCTTCTTGAGAGACAACAGTCACAGCAACCTGAAGCCGCACAGGTTCTATGTTTAGGAGCAGATATGGATCCAGCCAACACACTGCAAAGAAATTCTGGCTAAACTGGGAATGGAAGGCAGAGCACAGCTAGGCTGTTTTGGTCCCCAAAGTAAGGGAACGCATAAATGGGCCTGCAGTAACTACTGTCAAGCAATTTTTTTATTTTCCTTAGCTTCTTCTCTTTCCTATTAAGAAACATTTTAATTCAGACTGTGTGCTGATTTACAAACCACCACAGTCAATTATGAGTTATCGAGGACCAATAAATTTAACAACAGTACTTTTGAGTTTTGACAGAAACCAGGAAACTTTTTTTCTGGCCACAGAGCCAATGAGCAAAAGATATTTGTCCTGGGACATTTTTTCAAGGAATGACTAAAAAAATCCTGGCTGCAGGCAGTATGACTGTAACATACTATACAGTAGGACTGTTACTGCACTTAGTACAGTCAGTGACAGTCTGAAAAGTGAACATACTTCAGACAAATGGTAGGAAATTGGGGACTGAAGCTCACCAACATTTTGTAGGAAAGTTAAAAGTATCAGTCCCTTGATAAATTTGTTATCAGAAGAAAAACACTTAAATGTTTACAGTATTGAAAAAAGGAAAAGCAAAATACTGACTACTCAAATGAAGATAAAAGAGTTTACTGTCTAGCTCATGCACACATTATGCTTTTCACAATACACTTCATTTTCTCTTTCATTTTTACGCTTTACCAATGGTCAAAGCTTTGTCTCCATGGTGAAACTAAATCATTGCTGACAAATGGGTGCAGTCAAATGCGATTTCCTTTGTCTACACTTGTAATGAGAGATATACCCTGCTCTAGTTCAGCTGCACCCCTTGTTGTCAACAACTGTCAACAGTGGTTCGATTTAGTGCACCAAGGAGAGCCCAAACAATTTGGAAAGAATGATTTAAGCTGAGCGGGTCCCACCCGGCCCCTCCAGAACACACAGGCAGAACAGCCAATGCAAGAAAAACATTTAAAAATTATTAGGAAAATGAACAGTAAAAACCCACCAGATCTGGCAGGGGGATTGAAAGCATCTGAAGTTACTTAAGTGTTGCGACCAAAAAAACCCAAACAACCCAACTGACTTGTCAGTTGCCTGAGTTACAGAGTCACCCATTTCTCCTTCACTTTGTCAGAGATAAAGAAGCTAGTGACAATATTAGTATCATTGTTTTATTTATTTTACATGAAAAAAAAAAATCATAATCCTTAGGAACATCACCATAGGTAATTTGAAAGAGACTCTGTCACTTGCCCTATGGAAGGCAAATCCAACTAATGCAGATTGCACTGGTGGCGTCTACCATGACTTTAAATCATGTCAATATTCCCTCTCACACTTTAACAGCCAAAAGAATTACAATCTGCTTGGATTAATGCAGTACAGTGTCATTAGGCTGGCAATTAAATCCCATTTCTGAGATTGTGTGATCTGAGTCACCCACATCTGCAAATATCTTTGAATCTTGTGTAATAGCTGGCCTCAGATCTTGATACGCCAAAGTAAAAAGGCCTTTTTAATGGCTCCCATGTTATTTTGGACTTACAACTTCATGATGACAGCAGCTTCTCGAAACAGCCCATGAATCAAATTTATTATCCAGTTTGTCATGTGGGATTTTGTTAACTCTAAACCAATAGAGCAATAATGAATCAAGGTCATTGTTTATATTGCATGAATAAAAATTAACCACCTGTTCAAAAATTTTTTCTTTTGACATTGAAAGGTATTTGTCTCATAGACTTTTGACATATGCAGCATTCACCAATTCTTCTACACATCTGGGAGTATGTGAGAAAACACTCTCGAACAGTATCTCCTCTCATCCCAGTCTGTCTTGACTTTTTATAAATTAAAAAAAAAAAAAAAAAAGTCAGCCATCCTACTGCTCTTTCCAACAACAGTAGTTACACATGAGAAAGACAATCCAATTGCAGGATGCTCACCCCAGGAATTAATTTCCTCCCTGACAGTATCATTGAATATTTAAGCAGATCAGCAATTTTCAAATGATGGTTTAGTGGTAGAAACAGCAGCACAAGAAGATCTTTATACCATATGGATCAAAGAAGAGACAGCATGTTATGGGCTTTGAAAACAAAGCTTTTCTTCACTGAAGAAAGAAAGAAATACTACCTTCTCCATCCACAGAAGAGGTTACGATAACTATTTCTTTCCTTAAATTAGAGCCTAACCATGAGGCATAATAAAATGTATGCTATACAGACCTAAATAAGGAATGTTACCTTTAAAAATTCCAGTTATCTTTTTACTTCTTCAACAGTTACTTGCAGTACTTGCCATACCAGAGGAACAGCCACTGTTTACAGCCATGGATCATAGGGCATAACCAATAAACACACCACCTAACAGTAATCACAATGAAAGCCAGGAAACTTTGCTTGAAGTGCACACCCACAAAGTTTCTTTACAGGGTTTACTTTGAAGTGGACTGCGGCAAGTGACCCACAGCCATCTACAGCAAGCACCTGCATTCACAGCAAAAGATGGCCAAGCGGATGCTCTGAGCCCTTCCCCACCAGAAGCGGGCACGCCGCAGGCAGTACCTCCTTGATCCGCTTCACGAGCGCATTCTGATCAAAAGCAACTGCTTCGGCACACTGGTGAAGATGATCTTGGTACCGGAGACACAACTGCAGCACCTGCTGGGGGTCCAGCTTTTCCAGTTTGGTGTTGGTCGGAGAGGTCTGCCCACTGAGGAGTCCTGCAAGGCAAGGGAAGAACCAGAGTTAATCTGACTGTTCATATAACTAGTTCAGCTGCAGGCTGCAAAGCAGCACAACAAAGCCAGAAGAAAAGCTTTATAAGGGGTAATGAAAAACTAACGCGGGATCTCAGGCTACTGAATGGACTTCAGCAATGTAATAGTCCAGTGAAGACTAAAAGTGGGAAGAGCATGGACTAAAGATTTATGGATGTTTAGGATTCGTAGCAGTGCAAAGAACAGTTTGCAATACAGCTTAGTCCTCCTTGACAGAACTTGGACTCTAAATGCAGCTCCGTAACACATATCAGCTTGGTTTTCAGTGGTATGCTGTGTAAAGTGAGTCCTATTTCTTCTCCTCCAAAAACAATCCTAAACAGTGAAAAATGAATGCCCTCCTCATTTTATGTGTGTCAGAAGGGGAAGGAGTTGAGATCTGCATTCCCACATGGGCATGGGACTCAACTATTTTCACTAGAATCATGCTGTAAAAAACCAGAGCTCTAAAGTTTACTGGTCCCCCAAAACACACCTGAATAAAAAATGACCCACCTAAGTTAAATTATTTAGGGGTGAGATGTCCATGTTTTGCCCACTTTGTCTTTTTTAAATCTTCAGAACCCTTTAATCTTCTAAGATTTTTCTTTACAATCTCAAAGACTAGCAATATCCCTTCTTTTCTTTTAATATGGAATTAAGTTCCTTACCTACTTGTGTGACCAGGTTTTACAAAAAGCTCACAAAAAAAAAGGTATTAGACTTAAAATTGGGACACTGGTAATATCCAGAGGAGCAAAATTATCCACAGATATTTCTCCTGCCCATTGTTTGTTGCCTACATAGCGCAACTTGAGAACCTTTGCTGAGCTCAAGCATACGTCTGCCATACTAACCACTTTCCCCAAAGCTGCTGGAAAAAATGATGCTAAAGCTAAGGCCATCCTTTTTTGCTATTTCATTTACTTACTTTGGTTTCATTTTCCTTAAGCATTAGCACAGCTTTTTTCTTGTTGGGACACCATCTGTGACAAACAGCACATACAATCTGTTTTTCTCAAAACATCTGTCAAGGTATGTAAACTGAATTCAGTGACTGCACACATGTGCCATTTGGGACTCTCAGTTTACAGACAGGAAAAGACATTAAAAGAGCAAATGTAAGCAAGTATCACACTAAGCAATTAAAAGTCATAAATGCCAGTTATTTGGATTAGAAAAGTTCTTCTAATGTACCTCAGTGGGAAATGGAAACTATTTTGGATGGTCCCCATGCCTATTGGAAGCTACAACCGGTGACATCCAGTTCTTGCCAAAACACAAGAACAAGATAGAAACCAAGACGTAAGTCAGAAGCATATTATGAATTTGAGAAAGTTAAAACTCTTTGAAAACATTTTCAGACAGAAATGAAAACAAGATTAGGACAGCAACTTCATCAGATACGATGAAGTAGGTTTCCTTTTCATCAGTACTCAACAATTTATTCTCTCAAGATGCTCTCAATTACTCTTCAAACAAAACCTTTTCTTTCCTTATCTTAAGAGGAAAAAAAAGATAATTTTGTTTTACTGACTTGTTGCCCACAACAACTGGGCTGCCTGAGTCAAGAGGTCAGGAGAGGAAATAGACACTTCACCATTTAGTCTCAAAACCTGTATTAGCAATAGTCAAATTATTTTTCATGTTTTAGAAAGAATTGTCTCAAACAAAATCTTAGGTCCGGCAACATCAATTGCAAATCTTTCAAGTCTACTTTCAGCTGAAGTCCAAAACGTCAACAGGAGCAAACCCAGTAAAGGAAGTAAGACTTTCTATAAAGGTGTGCATTACATGTTCTAGTGCTTCCTCAGGTTGTTAATTCTGATCTTCTACAAAATTATCTTGTCAGGATAAGTGTTCAAATAATGTTGTAAACTTTTAGTATGTTGAATGTTCACATAGGAATGAAGAGTTCACCATACACCTGAGGCAGTTATCCTGTTTCTGCACTGATCAAATACATGATGCTATCAACCAACTAATTTCCTTTTATTACTAATCTCTCACCAACTTCAAGAGGAGGAATAAAATTAGACTCTATTTAGGAGATTTAATTAACACGGAGTGTGTATTTTGGCCAACTTACACTGCTTATGAAAATTTTGAAGTGGAATAGGCCAAGGACTGTAAAATGAGCTATAAAGGAACACCCTACTCAAACTTATATTATGTACTTACAATGTTGTACAGGTTACATAACGCTAAAAGCAAAATTAATAAACAGTAAGGAGCCTCTAATTCACTACTCAGAAAAGCACAAGCTCAAGTGAAGGGAGACATCAACTGCTCAGCTGGAAATCCTTCATAAGAAGGAAGAGGTGGAAATGCAGTCCAGTACAAAAGTTTGGAGTAGCGATAAAAAACGAACAGCGTACACCACTTAAAGATAGGCTATGGTATTCTTTTGGGTGATGCAGTAGGGAGAAGCCAAAGGAATTAGCTTCTCCATAGACCCCTGGGCTCATTTTGAGAATGCCAGAGAGCAATTTAGTTTAAGAGTTTCAACTCGCAAAAAAGGCAAAAGTAGAGTAAACAGCAGCATGAAAAAGGCCATGCAGCCTTCCATCTGGCAGAAATTCCCATCGTCAAAAAGTCGATCCACCATTTTTTTTGTTGTTCACAGTAACTACTTACTACTTATGCTATAAATATTAACATTTTCTTAACATTAACATCCCCCTCTACTCCGCTCTGGTGAGACCCCACCGGGAGCACTGTGTCCAGCTCTGGAGCCCTCAGCACAGGAAAGACATGGACCTGTTGGAGTGGGTCCAGAGGAGGCCACAAAAAATGATCAGAGGGGTGGAACACCTCTTCTGTGAGAACAGGCTGAGAGAGTTGGGGTTGTTCAGCCTGGAGAATAGAAGGCTCCGGGAGGACCTTATTGCAGCCTTCCAGTTCTTAAAGGGGGCTTACAGAAAGGAAAGATGGGGGTGGACTTTTTAGCAGGGCCTCTAGCGACAGGACAAGGGGTAATGGTCATTGTCGTCTTTCCATATATAAAGGTGGCTTGTAAGAAAGACAAGAGAGATGTTTTACCAAGGCCTGTAAGTGACAGGACAAGGGCCAATAGTTTTAAATTGAAAGAGGATAGGTTTAGATTGGACATAAGGAAGAACTTTTTCTTATGATGAGGGTGGTGCGATACTGAAACAGGTTGGCCAGAGAAGTTGTGGATGCCCCATCACTGTTGTTCAGGTCAGGTTGGATGGGGATTTGAGCAACTTGATCTAGTGGAAGATGTCCCTGCCCATGGCAGAGGTGTTGGACTAGATGATCTTTAAAGGTCCCTTCCAACTGAAACCATTCTATGATTTTATTAATTCACTGCATTTTATTTTTAGCAAGTCAGTAGTTTTGCTTCAGAAGAGCAGATGGCAACAGTAAGTCATCTTGAAACTTCATGGAAGACAGACTGCAACCAGTCAGATCCCAGACATTTCACCAGGGAAGCCCACGGGGTAGAAACAGAGATGCAGGGATGGAAGGGATCCCACCCTGTGCCATGGAATCCAGACCTCTTCCTTTTCTCCTCTCCTCAGCAGCAGGCAGTGAGCCAAATCAGCTTTAACGTAATACCTCCTCCATGCGCTCTGCATGTGAGACAGCAGCATACTTTCCTATACCCATGAAAAACTTGACAGCCACAGGAAAAACCCTGAACAAAAAGTAAGATACAGAAAAGGGTAGGGGATTAAAAAGGGTGTTGCTGGTGTCCTTTGTTCCTATATTAACAGAAAGTTGAAGAGGTATCTAAAAGCTTCTAGCAATTCAGCACTGAGAAAGCTTAATTTTTAGAGCAGAGATGGCCAGCACTGCAAACCTCTGGATATTATTAAACAACTCTCCTCTTGAAAATCACCGCTTCCTTCTTAAAGCCTTGTTCCACACTTTGAACTCTCCACTGGACAGGGCCATCCCTCAGTGACTGGTCTACATGCGGTCTGTAAGAGGATATGAGATCATATCTGTTGCAACAAAGTATTTATTAGGTCAGTCTTACAAGTGCCAAAAAGGGGAGAGAGACAGAGGTCGCCAAGTGGTTCAGACTCACTCTCAAAACAGCCAGACTTGAACCTGGTCACCAGCACATCTCAGAGCAACTAACCAGTGAGCAGTTATCTCACCACTAAGTAAAGCGTGTTCTTGTGATTTCATCTGTGTGATTATTACTCCCCAACCCCCAAGAGCATGGTTCTGCTCTTAAGTGTGGAGAAAACAGCATCTACAGTTCTAATTTCTTATTAAATTGAATACTCATTTTTCAGGCTGTTGGTTCTCTTCCAAAGGGGGAAGCGCACCGGGAATTATCTTCACCTCTATCTATCTCTTGAAACCTAAGAAGAGACCACTTGGCACATGATGTGTGATGCAACATGACCCAGCATGACAAAGAAAGGCAGCACGGACAATGTCGTGGTTTGGGGAAAACAAAAACAGGCAAACGGGAGGAGGACTACTGCAGAGCTTTAATGCATGGACCAAAACCACTTTGGCAACTGCCAAACATGCACAGTCTTGGCTATCAAATAACATCGTAAAACAAGTAAGAAGACAGGCCACATTATGTGCCTGCCACAATGAAGCGAAGTCAGGATCTCCCACCCACCCTGGATACATTTGATCAGTAAACACCACATCCATGAAGGTGATAAACAGCAACTGGGACAAAGACAGACTCACATTTCAGCTCCTAAATAGTGCTTTAGAAGAAAACAACCCAATACACTAAGTATGTCGTGCATAGAGAAATATCATATATCACTACAAGGCTAGCTGACCCACAGACTTGACAAATCCGTTATTGTTTCCATATTCCTTGGCAAAGCAGAGGCACGTTAAAACCATTTTCCTCCTACTTAGTCATCTCCTTGTTGGTTCCAGGTCAACATACACTTCCAACAAATCACATCCTACTGAGCAGAAGAAAGCTGTTAGTTTAAAAAGCATTTTTATGACTA